TATATATATATAAAACGCGCGTACCTTTTCAGTCGTGTTCAGTAGGAATGCTTTTTTCTTCTGGTTCGCTTTTAGCGCTTCGCAGTAACGGCATCGTTGAGCCGCGTAAAGGATAATCCTCGATAACGATGTCGTACATTCCGAAAACGGCGTCAGAGGGTGGATCGATATGTATTTTACTTTGTAAGGGTGACCATTCGTTTCATATTTGCTTTTGTTAGGAACGTCACGTTAGCGTATCGGCGGATATAACGTGCGAACTAATGCAAACGTCGCCGCGCACGTGTTAAGCGGATATCGACGCGAGACCGGAGATGTATCCGTCTATCCAGAAAATAATCCAGAGATAAGCATCTTGTCGCATCGCCGCATCCATAAACGACGAGGTAGTGTCATTTTAGGGTTGACAAGAACGGGAGGGGGCGCTTCATGGCGCGCGTTCGGAGATTAAAGATTATTTACGAGATGACGATAACGTTTTTAACGATAACATCTAACGATCAGTCTTCAGAGGGGAGAAACCCACCAATCGTTTTCACGACAGACTAAGCGAGAAATGCCGCTCGTCACGATGCATTCATTTGTCTATTGGCTGGTGCGCCGTTCGATGCTAGCGAGACGTTGTACTCACCGGCGGAGATAGTTATTAATTGTCACAACTAGGACGCATGCTGTAAGAAATGTGTCTCTCACGTCTGGTATCACTTCGATCGTGGTTTAATTTATTATATTTTCTTTTTCTAATCTTAATTTCAGAAAATATAAAGAATCGGTTAAAATTATAGTTCATAGTGATAAAGTTTTTATTTTTGTTTCTACCACTATCAAGCTCATCTCACTCTTCATCTTTTTCTGATTTATTAATTTGGTTTGTTTTCTATAGTTGAACTAATGTATACTTTTGCAATTTAAAATAGAGTAGGAGTATATATATATATATATATATATTCATTTTCATATATATCATCATTTTTGTTATATATATATACATATATATATATATATATATATAACAGACGTCGGAAGATGGACTAATAGGCATCGATGCAATTGGTGGAGAATATGAGAGGCCTCGGCCACACATGGAATGCGGTCGCGGTACGTGCGACATAATATGGGCTCCTCTAGGATGGCTTAACACAACCGTAGTCGGTTGTCCCTCACTGGTAGTACGAGCTCTCGACGGCAAACTGTCGCATCGATCGCGCCCGGTAGTACCTGTAAAGATACTCGTCAGAAATCTCCTTGTGATGTTTACTTGTATACAGTAGAAAGAAGCCAGTTCCATTGTCCCAGCATAGCAACAGCGGTTAGTTTTATATGTTCGCATATATAAATTATTATATATGTACACAATATATTTTTTATTGTTATATATATATACATATATATATATATATATATATATATTAATTTGTTTTTTTCTTAAGTTAAGCAACAGTAATCACGGTCACTTCATCAAAAATATTCTGCGCATTTGCAGAATTCGGGTTAAAAATTAAATATAGCAAAGTAAAGATTATGATAACCAGCTTGCAGAAATTATTATCCAAGTATCAACATGGAACGTCCAGGAGAAATGTACAAAACATATTCATTCCTTATGTTCAATAACAAATGAATAGAAGATACGAACTAAAGCATTTGTTTCATAATACATCGTGCACTTAATAATAGCATGCTAGCAAAACTTTACAATTGTAATTACTATGATCTCTTATTAGATAAACATAACATTGATTGGTTTTATACAATTTGGAAGGAATGAATGTGTAACAAAAAGAGCAGAACAAGCGTATTGCAGAAACACTGAAGGATAAAACAGAGATTCGGATCGATTAAACAAATATGTGTGACGAAACGAAATACATACACCGTAAAACGGATCTTTTAGATGGTTGCGTTTGATTGATAATAACGGCAGCTAAGGGCAGCGACAAGGTTCTCTGATGGGATATTGTCGCGGTTGTGGTTGTAGTGATCGTCGCGGTGACGGTCGCAGTAATGGTGGTGGTGATGGTAGTGGTGGTTGCAGTGATGGTAGTGGTAGTGACAGTAGTGGTAGTCATAGTTGCATTTGTTGCTGTTGTGACATTGTGAACGGATTGGGAATTATTGACGGAATGAGGATGACTCGCTACCGAATGACGACGTCTAGCGGTACCGGCACTGTTGGCATTAGTCGTGGCAATCCCAGTAGTCCAAGCCCCGGTACCAGCAACGGCTGCAAACCACACACCTCTCACTATCGCACAACTGTCTTTTGTCTTACGTGCATTTTGTGCCGGATATGACAGATACGGCACGGATAGTGTACCAATCGTGCTGTTAAAGACATGACCGCAAAGAATCTATCTCTTATGTTTCACGATGAGTTATTGACAAGTCTGACACACAAAACCTATTTTAATAATCCTTTTCAACTAGCAACTGTTCTCTTAAGTTTGATTTCTCTTATGATGATAACTTTTACGTGAAAAGAGAATTATGATAAAACACCAATAACATTACAAATGACAATAAAGCGTATCAATTAAGTTTCCTATCTTTCGTCATCATTTTAGCAAGATGCATTATATACATATATATGATACCTGACATCAGACAATTTACAGATTCCAGATAACTTGCCCGATTGTATCAATCATGCTATTTACACTATGAAACACTCAGAAAACGATGCATTACTGATTGATCTAAACTTTTATTTTTAACACAATTGATCATTGCATTCGTATAAAAGTTTCAGCTTTAGCTTTTCAATCTACATGTTTCCAAAAATTTATTTAATATCAACATAACAATAAGCTCTGACATTACTTTTAACATTAAGAAAATATTTCCCATTTTATTAAACATTTATTAATTAATTCTTTCCAAAAGATAATATATTACAAATAAACAAGCTATATATATAATATAATAATAAATATTTACAGATGAAATGAGAATATATGATAGCACAATTTTTTTTAAACTTATTTCTTCTAAAAAATTGAAGATAAAAGTCACATCAATTGCGTATATGTAAATAGTATGTGTTGCAATATGTAATCAAATGTATCAAATACAGTAAAAGAAAAATGCAATGATCAAGTTTTTGGATAGAGTCCTATATCCCATGAAATGGAAAACTGAAGAAAAATAAACGACATGTTCATTGTTTTTATGTGTCCTTTTTGCCATTCAAAATCCATGAAACGCGAAAGAAGGAAAGCAAATAGCTATTGTGACAGAGAACAGACCCGTGACTGTATTGGTGGAGGAGGTATTCCGAGATTGACTACACTGTGTGAGAACAGAGGAAGTAGCAGTCTGCTCTTGCAGTGGTTCCACTTGCTCCTTGTATGTCTTCTGTTCCTCTGTAAACCCCGTAAACCCATTTGTGTTATTCTAAAGCTGAACACTAATGTGTACACATACGACGATTCACCTGGTTTTCTTAAAGTATATAATTTATTTAATGTGCGTGTGCAATTGGTGATAATTATGTGTAAAGGAACGGTGTATTAGACGAAGTTTCAAGTCCGGATTTAAAAGGAATTTGTAAAAAGGATGATTTTAAATACACAAAATGACGTATATCGAAGCAAACCGAGACACAATATCTCTGTCGACTTCTGATTATAGACACGTGATAACCGATATGTCCCAAGTTACATATGCGAAACGAAAATCACATTTCGATAAATAATACGAAACACGCTGAAAAAAACTAATAACTCACATCCTGGTAAATCACAATGAATAAACGATATGTACAAGGAGCAGATTTGCGAAAATTGCAGCTTACCCAGGGGCGAAAAGCCATGAAGCTTTTGACCCGTATGCCGTCTTTGAAGAACGGATATAGGTTTACTGGCTTCGTTGGCGGAGGAACTACGCGTTCTCTGGCGAGGCCCAACTTCGTCTTTGTTACTTTTCGAATTCCTCATCGCAGTCGTTATAACATCGTACATATTGAGCGCGATATTGTTATCTTCGACTGCCATCCAAAATTCGCCATCTCCGGTTACGGCGGATCGGCCAACCTCTATGTAGAATATATCATTCGCAAATCCACATCGTCTAATATAATTTAGCTGCAAGAGAAAAAAAAGATTTAGAGATACATTGATTCTAATATACTAAATGTCAAGTTTTGTTGACCTTCAACTAATGATAACAAAATTCTAAGATATATTTTTTAATAATAATGCGCATTATTAAGGCGCTTAATTTGCGAAGCTTCACGGTAAGCCTTCCAAGACAATAACATATCGAGGCGTTGAAATATCACCGTTCAAATGCTTTCGTCGTGTGGCATCGCTTAGTCTAAACAAAATCTTTCATCCACTTTATTATTCACGGTGAAAACTGATCCGTCTAAATACATCTCGGACCACCATGAACAAAAACGCACACACTAGACTACGGCGTTCTTTTATTATTAAATAGCAAAGCTCGTAAAAAAAATAAAAGATTATAGCTATAAGTACTAATCTATAACATGCTACACTACGCTAACTATATTTCACGTAAACTTACAGAAATCTCGATAGAGTCAGAGTTATCCTGTGCCCCAATCTTCACTAAACTTAAAGTTTGATCGGTGAGGCATAATCTGTAGGGTCCGTGAATGTTCTTTCGTGCACCGAGACCTCTTTTTTGCATTGTAACTTGCCACACGTGTTCTGAAAGACATAAAAAAATGTAAGATATACTAATCTCATATTTGAAATACGAAATACGAAAATAACTTATGAATGTAATACTTCATTATGTATAATAAACTATATTTAATTTCAATAGGTAAGTGTATACATGCATTTGGTAAATGAAGAGGCAATAAGTATTTTAGAAGTTTTTTATAGTCAATTATATCTAAATATAGAATTCAAAATAATACATATGGAAAACTTAGAATATCTGTTACAATTCATTAACTGCAAATTATCATAGTAATATTAGTAATGAACGTCTATTTATAACAACGCAAACAAATGTTCATTATGTATGTTTGCATTAAATGTACTTGTAGTTCAAATGCGTCATAGTGAATAATGCTCGAAAATACATATAAAGTAATATAAATACTCACTTTTGTATAAAATAATTTAAATTCATATATATCAAGAGAATTGTGCTAATAATCAAGACAAACATGGAATATTTTTTTTTATATTAAAACAGAGATTCTGTACAAAGGGACCAAAGGAGTAATAATTTGAAACAAAAGCGTTTTATTTATCCGACATTACTCTTGTTTTCTTTGTTTCTGCAAGGAACACAAAAACATAAACAATTGCCAATGTTATTTTTGTTCCAAGGCTACATAACTCGTTCGAAATGTGAAAGTCACAAAATACACAGATAGTAGCGATGCACTTTTTATTGTGCATCTTTGCATCTCTTTAGTTTCGCATAAATTTCTCAAGAATATGTACACAATTATAACATTTGATGCAAAATATTGGGACAAAATAGGCAATTTTTTTTAAGTTACGACAAAACTCTTGCGTTCCTAAAAAAAAGGAATAAAAAAATTCATAAAATTCGCGGAGGCAGTGCATTCCGAAAATCATCGATTCATTCTATGAATGTAGATGTAAACAAACGTGTACACGCGCGACCAAGTTCTGTTGCAGGTCCCTACGTCAGTCGATGTAGGTGTGCGATAATCTCATCATGGAAAAAAAAAATCGATTACCATCCGCAGAAAAAAACGAGAAGACTCATATTTTCCAAGACGTAACAGAAATGTGTATCAAGGCCGTACGTAGATTGCTATCTAAAGAACGCAAATGTCATTATTAGACAAATAAACAACAAGCGAGAATTTAAACGTCAATATATCGATATCCGTTTCTAGACGATGGCTAATTTTTGATAGCGCGATTATACGTATATACCGATCGGAGTAATAAAGGTTGCAAAAAAGCAATAAAGGTTGTTTATCGGTTCTCCTGACGGGAGTTCAGGCGGGAAATGGAAAAGCGGCGCAATTGACTTATTTACCGAATGTAGGCCGCGGCTGTTCCCCATCGGGCACGTCTCCGCTTTGTAGCCTGAGCATCGCCTTGAGCCATTCGTCCAGCTCCTTCTCGCTGTCGAGGATCAGGCAGAAGCACTCATCCTTGGTGTAGAGCGCGATCACGTGCTTGTGCTTGGTGTCGCCGCGCTTATTGATGTTGAAGCAGCTGTGCAGCAGTATGCTGCGCTTCGGCGGTTGCCTGTTCTCGAATTTCTTCTTGCTGTCGTAATACTCGAGGCAGGCGAGGCAGCCGGGTCCCTCGCCGCGCAGCACAAAGTACTTCTTCTTCATCGTCTTGAGCTTCTTCAGGTGGCCGGAGCGGATCACGGGCCCGCCCGAAGGCGACGCCGGGCCCCTGCCCGAGGACATCGTCGGGATGACGATCGAGAAGATCGTCGTCGTCGTCGTCGTCGTTGTCGTTGTCGTACGATTAATGATTACCAACGAACCTCCCTCGAGTACGCGGGTACAAGCGTTTCGGCCCTTCGCGTTCTACGTATCATTCACATGATATCCCGGCTATTATCGTCCCCGCTCGCTTCCCACTTCCCGCTGCCTGTTCCTTTCTCCTCGAGCATGCGAGTTCACGGCGTGCGTGGCGCGTTTCGCGGAACGCGCCGAGAGCACGTCGTCACACGTGCACGCGGTGCGCCTCGTCCTCACCGAAAGACTGCGTCACGCACAACGGCGCAAAAGTTCATTTCATTGTGCTCGAGAAACGACGACAATTTCCACACTCGCGTCAAATATCCTCTTTTCTCTCTCTCTTTCTCTTTTTCGTCTTACTTATATTTGTTGTATTCTGCGTTGTATACCGATTTCTTTTCCAATTTCTTGTACTTAATTCTCTTTAATTTTTTATGTACCTTCGTATTATTTTTGAGTTTCACTATACTCTCCTTGTCGATTCTTACTTCTCAATGTTAAAAAATTTTTTACTTCCCGTATTATTTTTTATCCGTATTAGTTTATCTCGAACATTCTTAGAGGACATGTTCCTAAACCGACGATAAAAGTTCAATCGATCGATCGATCAATCTCTTAATAAATAATAGATATCTCTCCGTCTCTGTCGCTCCTCCAACACGATTAACGTCGTCGCTCGATCGCTTTGGTGGAGCGTGATCCGCGCACTTTCGCGGGCATAACAATAACGGCCGTCAACGTGTCAGCGAACTGCGCCTTCCAGCGCCACGATGCTTCCCTCCGTTGTTGAGGAAAAACGTGTCCGTCCTCGTTGTCGACTCGCTGTTATCGCGCGCTCAGGTCCGTCGCACATTGACAGTCACGACGGAAACGATATCGGGAGCGGCTCTCGTGAGCGCGCGCGCCTTCGCACCGAGCACGTTTTGGGACGTAAATATACACGGCGATGCGTGCGAGCAACAGCACCGCCAGCCGGGTTGCATGTGCGATGCGCTCGTCGCAGTGTTTCCGAGGGCGTGCTGCTGCTGCTGCTGCTGCTGCGTCGCGTCGCGTCCCTCTCTCTTCCTCTCACGATGGCAGTCGCGGACGTCCACCTTCTCGTAGGTTAGGAGGAACGACAACAATAACAATGGCGAGCCATGGCCAGCCACGAGACGACGATGACGATGACGATGACGATGACTGCGGGCAACGAAACGATCACAATTTTCACCCTCGGTCTTCTCTCGCTTGCACCGTTCACGGCGTCGGGAACCAAGTAGGGAAGATGACGCGGACTCTGAGATGTTGCGACGGCCACTCTCTCACTCTCGCTACGCTCCCTCCTTCACACTCCATCCACCGTGTCTCGTCTCTTTCTCTTCCTTTCTCACTCTCCTTCTCTCTTTCTTTCCACGTCTCGGCACGCCTCGAATCCACCTGTCACGCGGTTTCGTCTAATTTCGCCCGCCACCGATTTCAGGCGGCTCAGGCCGCGTCTCGGACGCGCCGAGGCTCCTCAACGGTGGCTCGGACTTGCCATGCCACCGTCGCTCGCGCATTCCTCGCGCAAGCAAGTAATTTCGTGATGCGCGTCCGCGATCGGGGGAGGAGGACGGTGTAGACGTTGGCCGGACTGCCGTGAGCCACACGACGAGCGGAGCCGTCACACAGCGCGTATGCCACGAGGTGCGGCCGTTTTGCGAGCGAGCGACCGAGTGCGGAACACGGACTACGGAACCCTCCTCCTGCACCTGTTTGTCTCTCCGAATAACACAATTACTGCGTGGTCCACGACGGTGACGTGTATACACACAAGTGCGCGCGCGTGTTCTCATACGCGTGCGAGAATAAACACCGACACTAACTCATTCACGCGCGCGCTCACCGTACACTCACACGTGCGCGCGAACGCACGCGCAGAGGAACAGAGATAGAAGGATGAGGGGAGGGAACCGGACGGACGGACGGTCGGTCAGCCAGACAGACAGACAGACGGAGAGCGTGACGATACGCAATACGATTCACGACGCAGGAGTGCGAGAGAGCGAGAGAGAGAGAGAGAAGGGCGATGTGGCGGCAGAAGGGAGGGAAGAGACACTCACAACAAGATGGGTTCTCTCTCTCTCTCTCTCTTTCTAGTCGCGAGCGAGCGCCGCACGTCCCGTCCAGAGTCTCTTTCGTCGAAAACGTGTTACAGCGTGACGAGGAAACACGACCAACCGACGTATGTCTGTACAGACAGATAGACGGACGAACGGATGGATAGACGGGAGTAGCGGGTGACGGTGAGCCTCGCAAGTGGGCGGCTGGCCGAAATTCGCCCCTTATCGGCACACAGCTCGTGGCACGGTCGCGCGCTCCTCTCAATAAATAGGCTACTGCCAAGGGCAACGCGATTTTTTTTCATGCGCAATAGCGGCGGCCGACATCAAAACAACCGTGGCAGCGACGGCGGCAGCAGCGACGGCGGCATTCCAGGTCGATGCGGGGTGGAGGAGAGGTAGGCGGGGGAGGGGGAACGCGATTTCTTTTCCTCTCCCCACCCTTTCTTCTCTCCTCCCGCCGCTCCCCGTTCTCCGTCCGTCACCGACTGACTTCCACTCTTCGCGCTCCTTCTCCGCAGCTGCTCCTCGTGTGGCTCCTCTTCCGTTCCTCCTTCTCCACCGCGTCTAAGGAGAGGAGGGAAAACGACGGGACACGCAAACCCGGGACAACCCGATTAACGACGCACTATCAGCCACGCACGAAAATAGACGCGGGGATATCACGATCACGTCCGTGTCTCCCCTCGTCCCACCTCGTGGGGAGTCGCGATCCGACGGAGACGACGAATTCGAGGCGACTCCTTCGCCCGAGTATAGAATTCTTTCTCGACCACCTCAACCGTCGTTAAGGCGTGCGTGCGTGCATGCGTGCATACGTGCGTGCGTGCGTACACGCGCGCGCGCGCGGTAAATCCTCACGTTCCGTAGTACTTACCAAGAGTACTTCGAACGCGCGCGACAAACGACAATCGTGTCGTCACTCGCGCGACGATCGAGATCGCGCGCAAGCAACTATACCGATCGACCGTCTTTCTCGTTGTTTAATCGTCGCGATGCGAAAACGTTAACACAATTGTGACGCGGACACGACCGCGACGTAACGCACAACTTTCGACTCTCGTTTCAACGCGCGTAAAATTCGTGCGAGTCCCCGCGATCGCCGGATGTTCCAGCAAAAGGCGATGGGACTCTCGCCACGACACAACACTCGCGCGCGACACCTCTCTTTCTTTCTCTTTTTCTTTCTCTTTCTCTCTTTCTCGTGAGCCGCGCGCGGGTTCACGCCTAGCCAACCGAACAGACGATCGTGTCTATCTTGTAAAGGTCATGTGTACGCCGAGCTCCGCAGTTGTAAACAAGATGTACGCAGGCGCTGAGTGCGCGCGCGCGCGCGCGCGTGCGAGTGCGAGCGCGAATGGCGGCGGCTCCGATGTACGCGGATATACGGTTCATATACGCCGCTACGCGATTGTAAATACGAACCGAAGCGCGCGCGCACGTCTCCGCTCGCGCATCGTGTATGCACGTGCGGTACGTGCGTCGTGTTTATTACGTACACACGAGTGCGACGGCGACACGGCGCAGAGCGCAGTGGCGTAACAATCGTGTCAATGGACGGACGGACGCCGCAATGCGGAAGAACCTTGCGGGGATCCGATCTCCAGGAATTAACGTGCGCGCGACGGCGCCGACGAAAGCGCGTGAACCTCTATTCCGTCAAAAGCAGTCGAGAGGATGATCTACGTCCTGCCGAAAGGCGGAGGCGCGTCGATCAGGGAACGTCGACCGGGAAGGCGCCGGAACGAGAATCGATACCCCTCGCCGCGAAGGCCAAATCTTGGCGCGTGCGAATCCCGCGAATTACGATGCCTCGTAATTCTGGAGCACGCGGTCTGATTGCTTCAAGGATGTGCCAATGATCTGTTCCAGGACTTCCAGTATCCCGATTTGGTAACTTTTAACGACAGTTCGATATCATACATTACATTATTATTGTGCAGTTTTTTTTTTACCATATACAATATAACGATATCAACACTGTCGTTAAGAATTACAATACTGGATTGTGCCGCATATTTCAAAGAATACGTTTCCATGGAATTATGTGTTGCTTAAGTTTACGCGAATCTTTCTCATGTAAACAATATAATTAATGCAAAATACGTAAATTATTTAAATTGGATAACACGACAAAGAAAAAAATTAAGTTTTATGATTGTTAATGCGTATCTAACTTTTAGTTATACTACACTGCGGGCAAAGAAATGTACGTTTTAATCAATTTTAATAAATATTCGCGAATATACAGCACTAACTTGACATTTACTTACAGTAAATAAATATTTATTAAATAAAAGTTATAATTAAACCAATTAGTGATTCTTGTACCAAATAAATATGTTTACATTTAATAAACATTCATTACTACAGCTCGTTACTATTCAAATATTTATTAAAATTTAGTTTTTAAGAAACTTCAATGCAACGACTGATTTATGTATAAACATACAATCCTAATGACCCTGCAGGTCTGTTCTTTCTAATTAAATTTCGTTTTTTATTTTTCCTTTTTTTCTCTTCACATTACGAAAAAGAGGGAAAAACAAGCAGATTAGCAAAAAAGAACGAATCTATGATTATCGTGATTACGTGCTTATATCTATCTACTTAGTTCTTTCTCGAGATTTTTTTGGTTGGTTCGTTTTATCTTCTACGAAAAAAGAAAGAAAAAGATGAATCGTGTAAGAAGTTCAACTAAAAAGAACAGGCGATGTATAATTATCGCGATTACGTGCTCATACTTGCCTACCTCTCAAGGAGCCTGTGTTTTTTAGTTCAATTTCTTGCACGGTTCATATTTTTTTCTTTTTTTTTTCAACGTTAGGAAAAAAGGAGATGAACCGTGCAAAACTAAACTCGGTTCAACTAAACTCAGATAACATGCATGTTTAAAAAAAAAATATAAAAATGTTTTGGGAATGTCTAAAATATTTAAAGGAACATGAAGACGTCGTCTAGACATTGCGTGTTGTTCTCGGGAAAAAAAGTCTGCATTTTAAAAAAATATCTATATAATATAATATCTATATAATATAAAAATATATAACGAAAATATATACTATATGTTACGTACATTATAAATTTCCTTAGTACTTTCGCATATACGATATTTTTCTAGAATAAGATCTCAGATTTATCAGACACGATGCTGAAATGTGTTTATTGTAGATATATTACAAATCGAAGCGCAATCTGATTGAATCCGATGTTCCACATACGGAACGCTAGTCGTATTTTTTTCGTATACTTTTCCCGAAATGAAATGATCAGTTAAATTTGAATGAATTTGTAAACCAATATTTATAATATAAAAATGGATACGTACAATTTTCATAAATTTTAATGTGGTGTTCAGCAAAATCTGATTATTTCAAGGGAATTTTCCAGAATACATAAATTTGTAATATAAAGAATCCAAGGATATTCAAGAACCGCTGAACATCATGTTTAATTAACTCGTAATTAATGTGCATAAATCAATGAATAATTTGTGATAGTCAATCTTACAAGGATTCGTTATAAACTCTTTAAACAAGTAATACTAGTGCAGAAGTTAAAGTGGTGAAATTTTTTCCTTAATGGAATATAAAATTTTATTTGATCATTTTCTAATCTAATTCCTTCATTCTTCCAATTTCTAAAATTTCTCAATTTTGAAAACTTATCAGAATAGATTAATATTAATTTAAATTTTAAATGTAAACACTATATGTATATAAGGTAGGGCATTTAAAATATTAAAGATACTGTCTCTAAAAAATTATGTATCACGCACATGCCAAACATAAAATTTAAAAATATATTCAGACGAAAATTGTATAAAAGGAATCAATTATGATAAAATCAATTTTTGAAAAACGATCTTTTAAGATCATTAGAGATCGCCTCCATTTGTATATATATATATATATATATATATATATATATATGTATGTGTAATTTTTTTTACATAATTACCCTATTCTGCGAAAAATTCAGTTAAGGTAGAAATTAATATGCACAAAATAATGAGATAAATCAATTGATATAAAGAAAACAATTTTTTAAAAATATTTAATTACATAACTTGTTAACACTTTAAATGCCCCACTTTATAATACTAAAGCCTATTAAATAATATTAAAACATTCACATACGCCGTATTTACTTTTTTTAGTTGAATCTTATGTCTTAATGTTTCTTTTTATAGTAAAATAAATGAAAATATTTTTCAAAATATTGGTAGTTACATGTTGAACTGTGACATAGTCTATTATTCAATCTGTAATTTTTTAAATTTAGATCAGATGTGTGCTATGAATAAATGTATATTAAAATAAAAAATATTGAATTTGACACTTCTTATGATATTATTTAAAATTACATCCTTAAACAAGAATTTTTTTACGAGTTTAGCAATAATAGATAAAGAAATAAAATCAAGAATAATTGAACATTAAAGAAATAAAGGATTGATGCTAATTAGAACATGTACAAACCATTAAATGGACTAATATAAGAATAGTATAGTTATCTCAAAAATATGGATTTTTTTTCTTTAGATATATAAAATTGTATTTACATACAATAGATCGCAGACAATAGCTTTAGAAAAATTTGGCAAAATGATTTACATTATTTTTCTAAAAAAAAATATATATATATATATATATAGAATATACTTATACGATATAATTACACTATTTACCTTCTCAGCCGATAGATAATTAAAATTAATGATCTATAAGTAATAATCTAATATTACAAATCTCATCTTCAAAAAAATAAAATAATTATAATATTGAATGAGTAAATAATAATGAATATTAAAAGTCATTTTGCATCTTATAAAAAATATTACATTTTAGCATCCACTGAACGTAAACAATACAAGATTTCTATGTAAAAATACATAATAGTATTTTTATATCACAATGTATTGAACTGTACAGGGACATAAATGCCTAACCATCCGAAGTTACATGTGCATCAGAGAAGACACAAGAAGGTATGAGAAGACATGAGAAGGAATGAAAAGTCATAAAAAGTCATAGCCAGGTATTTGTATCCTCGTACATACATACAAATTTTCAAAACTATATTAAAATATAACATTTACTTAAATTGTCAAATAATTTTACTATTGTTATAAATAATAAAATTATCAAATAATTTTATTATTACTATGTTACATTTATTACTATTGTAACGTCATGTTTCATTGCCTGAAAATAAAAAAAGAACATAAATATTGAAAATATAGTATTAAAGTAAATCAATCGCTCTCGAGGATAGACACAGGCTATATTTTTAACAACTTTTATTTTAACGTTATTCGCTAATATAACTTTGTAAAGATTTTAAGAAGACTATGAAACTAAGAAATTTTTTAAATTCGTCTTAATTCTACGTAAAGTATAAGTAATACAAACTATGTACCTTAAAATAGAGCCTTGATCAAAAATATTAGGTACCTATTTTTAGGTACGATTTTTTTCATAAATCTGAAATTCTTTTACTTATTATTTCCTATTAATTACCGACATTATACATAAGCGTATTTGAAACAATGGATAAGTCACAGCAAATGGCGAAAATCAATTTTTGAATTACAATGTTAAATAATGATTAATAAATTAATATTTTTGACCAAAGCCGTATATAAAGCATAGTTATTTGGCATAAGTCTTTTTGTAATAGAAGAGATCTTAGTTTTATATGTATATATAGTTAACAAGAAATTATATTTAAGTAACAAACTTGCATTAGTATTTACCTGAGTGCTATAACAACTTACTTTCTAGGTTAATACAAACGTAAGAATCAACTGTATAACAAAACATTAACTATATAAGAGATTTTTCCTTAGTAGAAATGAAAAATTTATATACACAAAGATAAAAGAATACTACCACGTATACTATAATAAACAAAGCATTTTCCAAGTATTCTCTTGTCTTTGTATAAGTGTATAAAAATCTTCCATTTCAACTATAATACTTTCATTATTGATGGCATTGATTTCTGCAGGATCATAATTAAATCATCCAATCAATCAGTTCTTTCAAAATATTCTCTTAAACGGTGAACCGTTATTTTATAGTACTTTGTACGTCATTTAAACAGAACAAAAAAGAATAGAAGAGTGAGACAAAAGTAACATTGGATAATGATAAAGTTACAAATAGAATAAAATATCTGAAAGGGATTGATGTGGCTCAGATAGAAGATTTTGTCCCACCAGGTACACAAGTTTGTGCGCGTATTGACAAGGAGCTGGTACACGTATTGTACCGGGCCAATTATAGTATAAATGACAAAGTTTATATGTCAATCGTTGCATGTGATCTGTTTCTATATTTGATGAATCATGAATGACGATGTAATGTGTGGGTGTTACTGTACCCTGTCGCACATTTTGCGGCACGAGGAAAAAGTCGTAATAGTTTCGCTTCGTTATGCACGAATCAACAATAGTTCCAGGTGCAGGATTGTCTAAACCATCCCTCTGCAAATTAAAATGTCATTGTCAATTAAAAACTTATCATTAACGGAACGTATTTTACGATTTATAAATTCTAGCTATACTCACTCCTTTGATGAATATCCGCGTGTTAATGCGTTTTTGAACTATAATTACACTAAGTTGCGGTTTGTAATTCGGCGCTATGCGATTAAACGTCGCCAACAATTGTTTTACTTCGTAATTTTCTACATAATCTAAATCTCCATCACCAACTCCATCACGATATATAATTATACGTTCTGGATTACATCCGTTATACTGACAACATATTTATCATTTTGATGAATCAATCAAAAGAAGTTTACATTTAAAAGATGAATATTAATTACCTTGTAAAATGCATTAATAGCTGAAGTAAGGCATACTTGTAGCATATCAACTAGTTCTTGCTTAGAGGCCTGCATACAAATTCTACTGTGCCATTTAGTCAATTGAGTATCCAAACTAGCAATAAATCCCGCAACACTTTTTCGTGAACCTCCTCCAACACCAGCATGATAAACGTCTATGCCACATATCATACAATTTTTCTACAAAATAATAAAATTAATTAATAAAAAATTAATAAAATAAGACAAATACATAAAATTATATACGATAAAATAGAAGTTTTTTATATACTAGTGGCAAAGTGAGAGTCCACAGTGCTCCTCCTAGTTTGCAATTGATTTGAAGTGCTATCTTTTCTGTGATACTTCTTAATTTAGTAGGCTTAGAAATTGTTTTCGAAATGATGACTTGTGATGGTATAGCTTTCTGTACACAGCATAATCT